TAATACGGGCTCACCATAGCCCGTGCTACATGGATATTTCGTTCTGAGTAGCTAAATCTAAAACACCAACAACAACAGCCTCCCTTAAACCTCAACAAAGGGATCAAGACACATCAGGTCCTTCTTCGGAATTCTGTTTTTTTGCCTCATAGACGTCTTGGATATTTATAGTCGCCATGATGCACAGTCGCAGTCTTGAACCGCGGGATGAGAGATGCTGCGATCATCTATCTTCCTGATTGCTTTTGTTTACCTTTACCGGCAACAACGACACATTATAACGACACCAGGTAAGCGACACATTAGTCCTGGGGAAAGTGGCCTTAATGTGTCGTTTCTCCTGGTCGTTGTGATGAATTATAGTTCTTACGCGCCTGAAGGTTGGTTGCCTAGCATGGTGGGGATCAGCTATGTCAAGTCTCTCAACGGGAACGGAACTGAGGAATTTGCTATAGAGCCTAACGGTAGGTCTCTCATCTGTGTGGTAGACGCCCTCACCGTACATGACACTCTCTACAACACACACACACACTTCCATTCGATCCTTTACAACGTCAGTCCTTCGTCAGTACTGGAATTTGCGCACACAAGTTCCTTAATGAGGTCGTTGTATAACTACCCCAGACGGCACTCCAGGAGCCTCAGTATCACCAGAGAGGCCATTAACGACACAACAACGACCACAGTCTTTCCAAGGAGGATGTGAGGCTCACCTTCACGTCGTTGTCATGTTCACCTGTTCTGTGGTGTAGACGACAATGTAATCTAACTCCAAGCGTGCATATGGGTGGGTCAGGAAGGGGGTTATATCTTCATATGATGAATATGTTTGCCTGTCTTCCTTCATGCCTGTCTTCATGTCTGTCTGCCAGCTAGCCAATCGTCTAATAATCTCACCAATCCTCTGGACAGATCAAGGTTAAACGCTAAGAAGTACTGCGAACTGGCAGCGTTCTCCTTGCGGCCCGTTATTGCTGTTTTCGTGTTTTTTGGGGAGTTAGCGGTTCCCAGCCACTGAGGCAGACAGGAGCTCTGGCTGGCTCGCGATTCTGTAGGAGCAACAAACTCTGAAAAGGACAGAGAGAGAGAGAGAGAGAGAGAGAGAGAGAGAGAGAGAGAAGGGAAGATGATCTATGAGGAGGAAACTCCAAACTATTACGACTATATAGCACTGAGAAGAGAACAGGAAAAGGATTTGGGATGGGACAGGGGTGATGGAATGGTGGCCAATCATTCTGACGGTCGGGGGGATTGAACGTCGACCTGCACGCAGCGAGACCGTCGCTCTACCGGCCAGCCCACGTGGTTGGAAATTGAGTAGCATACAATTAAGAGGAGAGAGACCGAGGTATATACGACTATACACGTCGAGTCCTCAATAGGCGCTATATAATAATTTCCAGATATAAAAGGCGAACTAACAGCCAGACAACAAAGAAGGACAGACAGACACCAAAAAAAAAAAAAATGGGCACAAAAAGAAGGAGCAACGATTCAGGGCCTTGGCCCCCCCCCTCCCCCCCTCCCCGCCCCCCCCCCCCCCCCCCCCCCACCACCAGAGGTTCAACTAAGGACCGACAAAGACATCAACAGTTACAGCCTCGCTCTTGTGCCAGGTAAGTCCACTACGGGCTCGCCATAGCCCGTGCTACCTGGAACTTTTTGTTCCGATAAGCTGAATTTATAACAACAACAACAATCTTCAGGCTTTGTCTCCGTCTTTGTTATGTTCTGTACAAGGAGATCTATAACTACATTTTCACTAGATAAGTACAAGGTCTTCTAGTTTAGCCTTAACTAACACGGTGGTACTAGATACTAGCTAATGTCAGCCTTGCGTGCTCCAGCGACCCTAAACAGGACACATGATCCCGATTTACAAAATACTTTGAGGAATTGTCATGATGAACAAGAACAGGCGCTTTGACGTACGCGGGACAGGATTTGCAAACACATTAATTACCCAGGTAAACCGCAGGGATATGTCGAGTTATGTCAACTAGTAATAATAATAGATTATTATTTATTGGAGTGCGATAATAGAGTGGAACAGGATAGTAAAGTGGTGGAAGCAGACACCCCGCACATCTCTATTTGGATAGGACAGATTTCAAACGGTTCTGTATACTTGTCCACTGAAGGTCTGGCGGTGGGACTCTCACACACACACACACACACACACACACACACACACACACACACACACACACACACACACACACACACACACACACACACACACACACAAATGCCGCTAAATGCGCTAAACACAGATGCCGAAGAAATACAAGAAAATTCACTTTCGCAAACAGAGTGGTAGACGGTTGGAACAAGTTAGGTGAGAAGGTGGTGGAGGCCAAAACCGTCAGTAGTTTCAAAGCGTTATATGACAAAGAGTGCTGGGAAGACGGGACACCACGAGCGTAGCTCTCATCCTGTAACTACCCTTAGGTAATTTTACTTAGGTAATTACACACACACACACACACACACACACATATACACACACACATTGAATTCATGGGTATTGAAAGAGTGTGCAGAAGCACTTTGCTTGCCACTCTCCATAGTGTATAGTAGGTCACTGGAGACGGGAGACCTACCAGAAATATGGAAGACGGCTAATGCAGTTCCAATATACAAAAAGGGTGACAGACAAGAGGCACTGGACTACAGGCCAGTGTCCTTGACTTGTATGAAGAAAATGATGGAGAAGGTGACGGAGAAGAGAGAAAACCTAGTAACACATCTGGAGAGAAGGGACTTCGTGACAACCCATCAACATCGGTTCAGTGAGGGTAAACCCACATAAAAATAATATCATCAGCGGTGTATGAGAGGCTGGCTAACAACAGAACTGCGTTCAAAAACTTGTCTGAGGAATCCTTCGGAACATTGTATACCACGTATGTAAGACCAATCCTGACGTATGTGGCCTTTTTTTTCTAAACTTTTTCCAGCTTCGTCTTGTACCTTGTCAAGCACAAGACGAAGCTGGAAAAAGTTTAAGGTACCACTAGACTAGAATTAGTCTCTAGCCACTAGTCTCAGAATTGAGAGGCATGAGTTACGAGGAAAGGCTGCGTGAATTGCACATCACATCGCTATAAGACAGAAGAGCTTGGGGAGACATGATCACCACATATAAATTTTAGAATTCACAGGGTAGATAAGGATGGATTATTTAACATAGATGGTAATCGCACAAGGGGGACACAGGTGGAAGCCGAGTACCCAAATGATCCACAGAGACATTAGAAAGAACTTGTTTAGTGTCAGAGTAGTTAACAAATGGAATGCATTAGGCAGCGATGTGGTTGAGGCTGACTCCATACACAGATTAAAATGTAGATATGACAGAGCTCAGTAGGCTCAGGAATCTGTACACCAGTTGATGGTTGAGAGGCTGGACCGAAGAACCGAAGCTCAACTCCAGGAAGTACAACTAGGCAAATACACGCACATTCTCACATTCTCTCTCTCTCTCTCTCTCTCTCTCTCTCTCTCTCTCTCTCTCTCTCTCTCTCTCTCTCTCTCTCTCTCTCTCTCTCTCTCTCTCTCTCTCTCTCCGTCGATAACCTTCTCCATCAGGGAAGAAGGCAAAGGGTATATCACTTAAGATATAAACACACAGTAGAACTCAATATGTAAAGTATCCCTCCCTTTACCTGCTTGAGATTTTCAACACACACACACACACAATACGGGAAGTCCGGCAAGTGGCCTGCCTGTCTGTCTGTCTCTCTCTATCACACGTGCACCTGTCTCTCTATCATGCGTGCACCTGTCTCTATCATTAGTGCATCTGGAGTGCCAGCCATACCTGTCTATTCAAGTCGTGAAGAAAATGGATTAATGTTGACATCAATCGCGTGTGTGGGTGACGAGGACAGTGTTTGCCTTGCTGCTGTTGTGCATCTGTTGCTTCAGCGGCTTTTATGGCCTTGTGTAGGTGTTTTGACAACTTTTGTGGCCGTGTTTGCGTTCCGTGGCAGCCGTTATCGGCCTGTGTGTTTGTAGTGATTGCTTCTATGATTGTGTGTGTGTGTGTGTTTGCTGCGATTGTTCTTGTTTTGTTTTGTTTCATTGGGTGGATATAAATAGGAGCTGCCTCGTATGGGCCAGTAGAAGCTGCCTCGTATGGGCCAGTAGAAGCTGCCTCGTATGGACCAGTAGAAGCTGCCTCGTATGGGCCAGTAGAAGCTGCCTCGTATGGACCAATAAATGAGCTGCCACGTATAAGCCAATAGGAGCTCCCTCGTATGGACCAATAAATGAGCAACCTCGTATGGGCCAATAAATGAGCTGCCACGTATAAGCCAATAGGAGCTCCCTCGTATGGACCAATAAATGAGCAGCCTCGTATAAGCCAATAGGAGCAGCCTCGTATCAGCCTATCGGAGCTGCCTCGTATCAGCCTATCGGAGCTGCCTCGCATGGACCATTAGGAGCAGCCTCGTATGGGCCAATGGAAGCCACAAGGTGCCAGCAGAGAGCCGTGCATGCGTGCGTGCGTGTACCCGCGTGTACGGGCGGGGAAGGTTACCCTAGCAGCCTTCAGCCTTCAAAAGAAAAACTAGTCCAGCTGGGCAGACCTCCGGCATCACTTTTACCTTCGTGGAGGTGATGACCGTATGTTGGCTGAGGTGCCTCAGGGGGGTTAAGGGTGCCTCTGGGTGGTTAAGGGTGCCTCTGGGTGGTTAAGGATGCCTCAGGGGGGTTACGGGTGGTTAAGGGTGCCTCTGGGTGGTTAAGGGTGCCTCAGGGTGGTTAAGGGTGCCTCTGGGTGGTTAAGGGTGCCTCAAAGAGCTGTAGAGGTACCTCCAAGGTGCTCTGAGTTGCATGTAATGAGTGAGGAGTGCTTCCAAGGGTACATTAAGGTGCCTTGGAAGGGAGGAGTGGAAAGCACTGTGAGTGGGGGGGCGGGAGTGCCTCTGGGGGAGTTTGGTGGTGCTTGTGAGGGGTGTGCAGTTGTCTGCTGGCATTGATTGTCATTGTTGTCATTGATTGTCATTGTTGTCATTGCCAGTACTATTGTTGTCATTGCCAGTACTGTTGTCATTGCCAGTACTGTTGTCATTGCCAGTACTATTGTTGTCATTGCCAGTACTGTTGTCATTGCCAGTACTGTTGTCATTGCCAGTACTGTTGTCATTGCCAGTACTATTGTTGTCATTGCCAGTACTGTTGTCATTGCCAGTACTGTTGTCATTGCCAGTACTGTTGTCATTGCCAGTACTGTTGTCATTGCCAGTACTGTTGTCATTGCCAGTACTGTTGTCATTGCCAGTACTATTGTTGTCATTGCCAGTACTGTTGTCATTGCCAGTACTGTTGTCATTGCCAGTACTGTTGTCATTGCCAGTACTGTTGTCATTGCCAGTACTATTGTTGTCATTGCTAGTACTGTTGTCATTGCCAGTACTACTGTTGTCATTGCTAGTACTGTTGTCATTGCCAGTACTGTTGTCATTGCCAGTACTGTTGTCATTGCCAGTACTATTGTTGTCATTGCCAGTACTGTTGTCATTGCCAGTACTGTTGTCATTGCCAGTACTGTTGTCATTGCCAGTACTATTGTTGTCATTGCCAGTACTGTTGTCATTGCCAGTACTGTTGTCATTGCCAGTACTATTGTTGTCATTGCCAGTACTGTTGTCATTGCCAGTACTATTGTTGTCATTGCCAGTACTGTTGTCATTGCCAGTACTATTGTTGTCATTGCCAGTACTGTTGTCATTGCCAGTACTATTGTTGTCATTGCCAGTACTGTTGTTGTTGCCACTGAAGTGTATATGTATATTACAGTAAGTGTATATTACATAAACTGTGTAAGGTACCTGCAGACCAGATGGATATCTTCTGCTATGGAAAGTCTGCATGTAAGTTATTTGTCAAATAACGTTATTTGACGTTATCAAGTTATCGACGTTATCAAGTTATTTGACGTTGTCAAGTAATCAAGTTATCGACGTTATCAAGTTATTTGTCGAACTTTGCTTCTCACCAGTGTGTGTGCAGCCCGCTCTTCAATTTTGCCTAAAGGGAAAAATAACTTCCCTGGAAACACAAACCGTAATTGACTCTATTTTCTGCTTGTTACAACTTTTAATAAAGTTGTTACGTCTTGGCTTAACGTGTTTTTGACGTATTAGAACGTTGTTACAACTTGTTATATTGGTTCTTATAACTTGTTAGGTGTTAAATCTTGTTCGAACGTTGTAGCAACGTCGTAGTTTCGCTGTGTGTTTGGCGGGTTAAGATGAAACTATGAACATGAATCCCAAATTATCGGTGATATTGCAGTACAAGATTTGTAGATACACGTAACTTAAGCATCATCTAGATGCAGCTGAGTTTTCTAGCTCGTTTGACTAACGTGGTAATTGATGGGTTGATATAGCACTGTCTTCTCGTCTAGTCTTGTGACAGGATGCTGGGACGCCCATCAGTTGGAGGGTCCATCTGGGGGATTATTTTGCCCTCCGGCACGCCAACGTGAGACTAAATAATAAATCTTTATTTATAGGAATATATCTTTATCCCTTTGCCTCTTGAGACAAGCAGCGAACAATCATCTAGAGAGACGACCCGAGACGACTCAGTGGGTCGTCTCTCAGGGGAGAGACGACCCCACTGTGGCTCGGTGAGGCGGTCGAGAGAGTCCTGTGAGGCGGATGAGGACAGGGAGGAATCATCTACCTAGGCACTTGCCTCTGGGGTTAATTCGAACATATTATCGTAGTAGATGTCACAGTAATGGGAAAGATTACCCAGTTTGGTCCCAGTAATCTTAGTGAGGAAAGGTGTCTCTAGGGAGATTGAAAATTAATATAATTTGTCATTCCTTGTAAAAGCGGGGGAAGGATGAGGCTCGAACCCTGACCCGTCAGTAACCATCGCCGGACAGAGAACTGTCACCGTGCAAAGTTTTGTGCCGCTAGCCACCAGCGTCTGGCCGTAAATCTCGAACCAGCAGACAAACATTCTCATTTGAAGATATAGATTTGTTGAACTAATCCACAAGGCTCGACCCCTGCCTTTGAACAGCTTGTTGACAGAGCCCGGGGTGCATTGGCAGGAATTGTGTAAAACCCCGGTTTGTGTCTCGGAGAGGCTGCAGGATCCGTGTGAGGGGCAGTAGCACTCCCGGTTGCAATTATTTTTACCATGTCGTGGTATAGTCGACTAAGACGCGCCTGGGATCACCCCCTGGGCGTAAGTTCGAACCCTCATCACAGCCTCTGTGGATTTGTTCATTTGATGCCGCATGCTACTGTGATTTCTATGTGTACAGTATATAGATTTATTATGCATTTATTAAAAAACTGTAAATTCCACACACTAAATAGCCACATTTTGAAGGCATTAATTATTTTAATTAATTTAATTAATTTTAATTTAATATATTTATATTAATTTGAAGGCATGCTTATTAAATTTGTTTCTGCAATTTGTTATATTACCATTTGTTTTAAGCAATATTACTCTTTGCCAGAACACTTTGTCATTAATAATATTATTTAGAAAATCAGTTGGATAAATGCAAGGATTCGAACCAGTGTCATGTTAAACACCAGACACGCGTTTTGTACCCACTGGGCCCATGACAGGACAAAAACTATTCAACTGGGACTCAACTGAGTCCCTAAGAAAGACTGGAAGCCGTAACTGGTGCCACAATTAGGCTTTTACCAATAACTCGCCTGCACTCTACTTTGAGTAATAAGGTCCTGCACCAAATGCTTCCTCCAGTACACATGTAAACCCCAATACCATGAATTACCAAAGCATTATCATTATTTTTTTTTTTTTTTTTGTAAATAGTTGACATTGAAAATGTAATTATTTATTTTTTGTCTCTTCTATCCAGTGAAGGGTATGTAAGACTCTACATATCTCATTAGAATATAAAGTTTTTTAAAGTTTCTCAAAGTTAAGGTAAAAATGTAAGTTCGCGAGTGTGTTGGGGTCAGTGTGTTATGGGGTCAGTGTGTGGGTGGTTGAGTACGATGGGGTCAGTGTGTGGGTGGTTGAGTAAGATGGGGTCAGTGTGTGGGTGGTTGAGTAAGATGGGGTCAGTGTGTGGGTGGTTGAGTAAGATGGGGTCAGTGTGTGGATGGTTGAGTGAGATGGGAGTCAGTACGTGAGTTATGGGGGGTGAGTGAGTGTGTGGGTGGGTGAGTGAGTGAGGATGTAGGGTAGAGTAAGCTAGATCATGACCACAACAACCTTGGTACAGATCTTGCCCGTTCATGGCATATAAAAGCCTGATTCGTGACCTTTGCCAGAGCCACTGAATTTCTCTCTCTCCATATTCCAGCACTAAGATATGCACGACTCGCTGTTGCACATTAGAACTGGCGAATGCTTGCATGGTTGTATATGGCCGAGCTGGAACTCCTCTTTTACACACACACTTCAACACAGACACTGAAAACATCATTGTGGTAAAGTTTCAGTTTGGGTAGATTGCGTGAGTTTAGATTAAGTTAGGTTAGATAAAGTTGTTACACTGCATTTAATTAAGTTAGGAGCCAATCAATTTAATGATGTTTATATGTTTATATATGGCTTATAGCTGGTTTATATGGCTTATAGCTATTAGACTTCCTCCTCCTGGTATCCACTTAGTGTGTCATGAAGCCTTCCACACTGTATAATGTCAACAGTCTATGCCCGATGAATGCCCCCCCCCTTCCCCTGCTGGAAGCGTGAAGCCTCGCTTCATGCAGGTCGGCGTTCGATCCCCGCGACCGCTCAAGTGTTTCGACATTATTTCTTCCTGCCGTCCGATCCCAGCTCCTTGTTCTCATATCCCAGCTCCTTGTTTTCATATCCCAGCTCTTTGTTCTCAAATCCCAGCTCCTTGTTCTCAAATCCCAGTTCCTTGTGCTCATATCCCAACTCCTTGTTCTCATATCCCAACTCCTTGTTCTCATATCCCAGCTCCTTGTTCTCATATCCCAGCTCCTTGTTCTCATATCCCAGCTCCTTGTTCTCATATCCCAGCTCCTTGTTCTCATATCCTAGCTCCTTGTTTTCATATCCCAGCTCCTTGTTCTCATATCCCAGCTCCTTGTTCTCATATCCCAGCTCCTTGTTCTCATATCCCAGCTCTTTGTTCTCATATCCCAGCTCCTTGTTCTCACATCCCAGCTCCTTGTCCTCAAATGCCAGCTCTTTGTTCTCATATCCCAGCTCCTTGTTCTCATATCCCAGCTCCTTGTCCTCAAATCCCAGCTCCTTGTTCTCAAATCCCAGCTCCTTGTCCTCAAATCCCAGCTCCTTGTCCTCAAATCCCAGCTCCTTGTCCTCATATCCCAGCTCCATGTCCTCTGAGGGCCTCCACCCTGCCCCCCCCCCCCCACCCCTGAGTGCCTCTACTCTAAGAGTGCCTTCACACACTAACCTTGTGACAGTTCTCCCCCAACCCGGTGAGTGCCTTCATGCGTTCACTCCCTGGACCAATTTGCTTCCCACAAGCAACGGCCAGGAACACCCCCAAGATGTCCAGGACCCCCGACGAACGGTTCCCTTCACTAAGCAAGGACGGACTCGTTCAGGCGCGCGGCAAGAACGAGTGTGTGTGCGAGCTCGGGTCCTCCGACGCGCGCCCAAAAGTAAACAAAACAAATCCCCTAAAAAAACGCGCCAGACGTCGATCAGAACGCGTCCGGGAGGTGGTGGTGGTGGTGGGGCTAGTTGATTTCTGGGTAGTGGTTGGTCTGGGTGATTGTGGTAGCGTTTGTGTTTAGTCGAGCCATAGTGGTGGTGGTTGGTCGACTTGTGCTATTGTGGTGGTCCAGGACCGGGTTTTAGCCAGCATTTACATGTGTGTGTCCACTTGCGAAACCTGTACATCTCTCCTTATGATCGTTTTAGTGATTGTTTACGAGGTTCGAAAATTATGAACCCAAAGTTATTGTTGTTAAAGACAACTTCGGATCGCGTGAACTTTGTTATAACTACAAACTAAGTCGCTGTGATTGAGGAGAGATGTACAGGTTTCGTAAGAGGGCACGAACAGTAACGCAAAACCGAATCAAGGCGATGGTCAACAGACATCAACAGATGTGAAATAAAGCCAATCTAGATTGTATTTATATTTCAAAAGACCAGCAACATTATTATTTTCATACTTTTGTATCTGTATATCTCGCGATGTATTAAATTTGTAGGACTGGTGTTGTTAGTGGTGAACGCTCCCTGTGAAACACGGTAAAAATTGCCTAAGCTGCTCTATTGTCCTTTTGGGGTGTATTTTCATATCTTTCTTGAACCTGAATACAACTTTGGCTGCATCTGTTTGTGATTGTCATGGTGTATAAATGGTTCAGTAACCTCTGAAATTCATTGAAATTCTGGATAAAAAAGTATTCACTGTGTGTGTGTGTGTGTGTGTACTCACCTAGTTGTGTTTGCGGGGGTTGAGCTCTGGCTCTTTGGCTCTTTTTGTGTGTGTGTGTGTGTGTGTGTGTGTGTGTGTGTGTGTGTGTGTGTGTGTGTGTGTGTGTGTGTGTGTGTGTGTGTGTGTGTGTGAAAAAATAGTAGTAACAGTTGATTGACAGTTGAGAGGCAGGCCGAAAGAGCAGAGCTCAACCCCCTCAAGCGCAACTAGGTGAATACAACTAAGTGAATACACACACACACGCGCGCGCGCGCACTCCTTATATACAATCTTGAAAAAATCAGAGTGTCCTTCTCGCCAATCTTACACCAGTGAATTTGCATTTCAGGAAGACCATATCCCACATAAACCATATCCCAGATAAAACCATGTCCCAAAGTGACCATTTCCAAGAGACGAAATCCCAGAGACTATATATCACAAACTATATCCCAGAGACTATATATCAGAGACTAAATCCCACAGAACCTATCCCAGAGAGAACCTATCCCAGAGAGTTGGGGAATGTTTATACATTCTTTAACATGATGTATATGCACTATATATATATATATATATATATATATATATATATATATATATATATATATATATATATATATTCCATTTACCTGGGCTCTAGGAGTCTATTTACACACTCTATACCTCCGTATGATAACCAAAATTATCAAAGTGCATTTTGGCTTTACTATTCTTCACGTGTCTGGTGATGGACAGATTTTAATTAATTTTCACTACTAATATGGTCATTGATGGGTTGGATTGGTCGGTGTTTTCTTGAGTAGTCTTAAGACAGGAGGATGCATGCGGTGCGTCCAGTCAGACAGTCCAGTGAGACAGGGAGCAGCTGGCTTCTGTCTCAAGCAACAACAACTTGCCCCCCCCCTGTCACCCCCCGTCGCTACAAGATAAAATATTCAACGTTTTAGAGACAGTTATTTTTTCATTACATAGTACTTTGAATTAAACCTAGAATATAGTGTGTACCTCATCATACGCGAACTAAATGTAACGTAACCAATCGTTCACGGGCTCTGAAGAATACTGAGCAAACTGTAAACCAATTGATATGGACAGGTAAGGTTATATACTCAATAGGTATACTTGAGTTATGTTTTAATGAAGGAATATATTGTTTATATTCAAGTCTTGAGTATATATATATCCGGGTAGCGTTACTGAGTGTGAAATGTTGGATATATCCGGATTACGTTATGTAATGGAAGCATAAATTCAGGTTATGGTAAAATTAGCTCAATAATTTTATTATTTGAAAAAATATCACATAAACTGTCCCTTGTACAGGTGTGGTAACGCACACTCCATTGCATCTCGCTAGAGAATTGACCAGGGTTCGAGTCCTGGCGCCAGGGAGCACTTAATCTTTCCTCTTCACCCCAGCAGTAATTGAGTATCTGGCAGTTAACCGATTGTTGTCATGTTGTGTTCCAGGGAAAACGGAAGAGGTAAGCCTTACCATGAGCTATGTGAAGGTGAACCATCTCAACCTGCTAAAACACACACACACACACACACACACACACACACACACACACACACACACACACACACACACACACACACACACACACACATTATTAGAATGCATTAGGAAGTGATGTGGTGGAGGCTGACTCCATACAGTTTCAAGTGTAGATATGATAGAGCCCAATAGGCTCAGGAACCTGTACACCTGTGTATTGACGGTTGAGAGGCGGGACCAAAGAGCCAGAGCTCAACCCCCGCAAGCACAACTAGGTGAGTACAACTAGGTGAGTACACACACACCACATATATATATATATATATATATATATATATATATATATATATATATATATATATATAATTTCCTCTTGGTGATTGTACGCTTTCATATATTCGTGTCCAACATACGTCAGTATATGTGGCATGTATGACTGGAGACCAAGGACGACTGGATATTAATACTCTACAACACAGAGGTACTAAACGACTGTAGCAGCTACAGGAAACTTCAAATTCTTGAGGCCGTGCGCGTCAAGGGGGAGGAAATCCCTCTGTACATAGCTTTTCCAGCGGGATCCAGCCCCATCCTGGAACATTCCAGCAGGTTCCTGCCCCCATCCTGGAACATTCCAGCAGGTTCCTGCCCCCATCCTGGAACATTCCAGCAGGTTCCTGGCCCCATCCTGAAACATTCCAGCAGATTCCTGCCCCCATCCTGAAACATTCCAGCAGATTCCTGCCCCCATCCTGGAAGATTCCAACAGATTCCTGCCCCCATCCTGAAACATTCCAACAGATTCCTGCCCCCATCCTGAAACATTCCAGCAGGTTCCTGCCCCCATCCTGAAACATTCTAGCAGGTTCCTACCCCCATCCTGGAACATTCCAGCAGGTTCCTGCCCCCATCCTGGAAGATTCCAGCAGGTTCCTACCCCATCCTGGAAGATTCCAGCAGGTTCCTGCCCCCATCCTGGAACATTCCAGCAGGTTCCTGCCCCCATCCTGGAACATTCCAGCAGGTTCCTGCCCCCATCCTGGAAGATTAAAGCAAGTTCCTGCCCCCATCCTGGAACATTCCAGCAGGTTCCTGCCCCCATCCTGAAACATTCCAGCAGATTCCTGCCCCCCTCCTGGAAGATTCCAGCAGGTTCCTGCCCCCATCCTGAAACATTCCAGCAGGTTCCTGCCCCCATCCTGGAACATTCCAGCAGGTTCCTGCCCCCATCCTGGAACATTTCAGCAGGTTCCTGCCCCCATCCTGGAAGATTCCAGCAGGTTCCTGCCCCCATCCTGAAACATTCCAGCAGGTTCCTGCCCTCATCCTGGAACATTCCAGCAGGTTCCTGCCCCCATCCTGGAACATTCCAGCAGGTTCCTGCCCCCATCCTGGAACATTCCTGCAGATTCCTGCCCCATCCTGGAAGATTCCAGCAGGTTCCTGCCCCCATCCTGGAACATTCCAGCAGGTTCCTGCCCCATCCTGGAAGATCCAGCAGGTTCCTGCCCCCATCCTGGAAGATTCCAACAGGTTCCATACCCACCCTTAAACACCACCACTACTGGTGAACAAAAAGTAGCCACTACGATTAAGGTTCAAGAGTGAACACGATCTCAACAGATCCTGTTCACTAAATACCTGCACGCAGTTCTCTTTGTCATAATGAGTCAACAGTTATCAACCTGAAAATTGTGTTATCATGGTTGACCATTATATACGTAATCCAACCTGAACACAAGGGTCCAGACCGAAGATAACGTCACCATCATTCCCAGGATTGTTATCAAATTCGTAGATAACTCTTTTGTGCCCTATGTAGATATAAGATAATCCTTATAAGCATTCATGAAAAGATAGTTGATATGTAGTTCAACTTGGTGTTCAATCAGGTCAAAAATAAGATATCCTGTTGAAATATACTGACAACAATAACATGAAAGCATGATTCATGAACCCTGATGGTCAAAAAAACGGGAGTACGATGAAAATAGGGAATTCCTGGATGGGATACAAAGAGTTTGAAATTTTCAGTGCAGTCCATCACACAGGATTTGATGGACTACACTGCCAGAATCTGTATAGTAGACGAAGGAAGAGTCACACCCCATGTAAACTATAGAACCAAACATTGACCGATACGCTGTGTGTAATAGTAGCTTTAGGTATTGTAAATACTAGCTCTATAAATCCATTATGTTAACTCACTTTGTAGGTATGTACTTTACCTGAATACACATTTGATTTGATTTGAACTCACACCAGCCCGTGATGGAAAAGGCCATATGTCACCAGGCACAAAGATGAGAAACAAATGAGGGTGTAAGATATATAGAGGGAAGATATATAGAGGGAAGAGAACTGATGAGGCAGAGCCTCTACAAGGGACCGAGGAGTGGCTATGTAAGAATAAGAATAATACGCGCCCCCCTCCCCCCAACAATGATACCTCCCTCCCCCAACAATGAGACCCCCTCCCCCAACAATGAGACCCCCTCCCCCCAACAATGAGACCCCCCTCCCCAACAATGAGACCCCCTACCCCAACAATGAGACCCCCTACCCCCAACAATAAATCCCCCCCTTCCCCCCTAACAGTGAGGGGCGCCCTCCTCCCCAACAGTGATGCCATAGACTACCAAATAGATAGCTATTTCCTGAACATCTTTTCAAGGTTGAATATCAGGTCGTTCCGGCCTATCTGGTGGTCTGAGGGACGGAAAATATGGTGGGGATTACCTAAGGGGAGGTTGGGGGAAGGGGGGGGGGAATGTATATGGGTAAGGGAAGGGGACGAGGTAGGAAATTCCAGTTTTGCAGCAGGATGCTGCTTGTGGAAACTTTTTCCTTATTGAGACTCCTACATAGCTCGGTCGATAGAGCTTCGGTGTCACACACTTGGGGTCCAGGGTTCGAGTCTCCTATAGCCCAGGTGAATGGGATGAGGTAGGGAATGGGCGATAGGGAAGGGGTGGAAAGAAATTGGAATGGGGGGAAAGATATTTGTTGAAAGGTGCTGGGATGAGCACCACTGACACCATCTGTGTCACCATCACCACCGAGAGAGTGAGTGAGAGAGAGAGAGAGAGAGAGAGAGAGAGAGAGAGAGAGAGAGAGAGAGAGAGAGAGAGAGAGAGAGAGAGAGAGAGAGAGGGAGAGAGAGAGAGACATAATTGAGACACTTCCACTGGATGGTCAACAGTCCTGTACAAAGCTTTATCGCGCCACAAACAGCCATAAAAGCTTAAGCGTTGAGCAGCGACGACGACCTCTAGTGACCTGTGAAGCCTTTTAGGCATGTTAATGGCAGATGTGTGTGTGTGTACGACCCGCCAGACCCTATCACGACACCCCCCCCCCCTTCCGTCCTCTTTTGTTGACGGAAGGTGGGTGATATCTAGTAGTGGTGTTAGGCTATTTAATCCCCTATTGTCGGGGACAGGAAGCCTTTTATAATGGGGGGGGGGAAGATATCCAAGATCTATCTTGTGCCAAATCAGGCACAAGATAGCCGACCAAGTGTTCGAATCCTCCCCATGATTCCTAAAGATTTTCTCGCTATATGTATATATATGTATTGTGTTAAGATGTATTAGCTCATTACGGGCAATTCATGCCCGCGCCACTTCTTGGGTGGCTTAATCTTCATCCATCAATCAGATCTGATTGCGACATACAAAATACTCATCAACATAGATATGGGCAGAAATAAGGCAAAAATGCACAAGAGATTGAGGTGAGTAAAGGAGAATTTTCTTGGGTTACGAGGGAAGTAATAGTTTCATCAGACGACTGAGAGCTAATAGACGGAGGGACAAGAGCTGGAGCCCTGCCAACCCACATCCAACCAATGTAAACTGGATTACTGAAGCTCTTGCAGCTGTATAGAACACATCAGTGAGAAGCATCAACCTGTCCTCTTGTAGCCTGTCCTCTTGTAGCCTGTCCTCTTGTAGCCTGTCCTCTTGCAACCTGTCCTCTTGCAACCTGTCCTCTTGTAGCCTGTCCTCTTGTAACCTGTCCTCTTGTAACCTGTCCTCCTGCAACCTGTCCTCTTGCAACCTGTCCTCTTGCAACCTGTCCTCTTGCAACCTGTCCTCTTGCAACCTGTCCTCTTGTAACCTGTCCTCTTGTAACCTGTCCTCTTGTAACCTGTCCTCTTGTAACCTGCCCTCTTGTAACCTGCCCTCTTGTAACCTGTCCTCTTGTAACCTGTCCTCTTGTAACCTGCCCTCTTGCAACCTGTCCTCTTGTAACCTGTCCTCTTGTAACCTGCCCTCTTGCAACCTGTCCTCTTGTAACCTGCCCTCTTGTAACCTGTCCTCGTGTAACCTGTCCTCTTGTAACCTGTCCTCTTGCAACCTGTCCTCTTGCAACCTGTCCTCGTGTACCCTGTCCCCTTGCAACCTGTCCTCGTGTAGCCTGTCCTCTTGCAACCTGTCCTCTTGTAACCTGTCCTCTTGTAACCTGTCCTCTTGTAACCTGTCCTCTTGTAACCTGTCCTCTTGCAACCTGTCTTCTTGCAACCTGTCCTCGGCTCACAACCGAGTGTCCTGGAATCAATCCCCTAGCAGGACAAAAATGGTTGGGCACTTTTCCTTTCACCTGATGCAGCTGTTCTCCTAGCAGTAAACTAGGTTCCCAGGAGTTAGAAAACTGACTTAAATGAAAATGACAGGAAACTATAATATATATATATATATCTATATATATATATATATATATATATATATATATATATATATATATATATATATATATATATATATATATATATATATATGTTGTACCTAGTAGCCAGAACGTCGTTCTCGGCCTACTATACAAGGCCCGATTTGCCTAGTAAGCCAAGTTTTCCTGAATTTATATATATATTTGTTAATTATTTTCTAATGAAATGATGAAGCTATCCATTGCATTATGGATGAGTTAAGTTTTGTTTAATTTGAGTTAAAACTAACATAGTTATATGACCTAACCTAACCAACCCTACCTAACCTAACCTAATCTTAACGTAATCTAACATAATTAAGTCAATAGCTTATGTTCCTAATACAATATAATAATAATATTTAAAATAAACCAATTGGAGAAAAATTTTGAAAATAAAGAAAATAACTCGGCCTATTAGGCAAATCGGACCTTGCATTGTAGGCCGAGAAGTGCGTTCTGGCTACTAGGTACGACATATATATATATATATATATATATATATATATATATATATATATATATATATATATATATATATATATATATATATATATATGTCGTACCTAATAGCCAGAACGCACTTCTCTGCCTACTATGCAAGGCCCGATTTGCCTAATAAGCCAAGTTTTCATGAATTAATTGTTTTTCGACTACCTAACCTACCTAACCAAACCTAACCTAACTTTTTCGGCTACCTAACCTAACCTAACCTAAAAGATAGGTTAGGTTAGGTTAGGTAGGGTTGGTTAGGTTTGGTCATATATCTACGTTAATTTTAACTCCAATAAAAAAATATGACCTCATACATAATGAAATGGGTAGCTTTATCATCTCATAAGAAAAAAAATTGAGAAAATATAATAATTCAGGAAAACTTGGCTTATTAGGCAAATCGGGCCTTGCATAGTAGGCCGAGAAGTGCGTTCTGGCTACTAGGTACGACATATATATATATATATATATATATATATGTCGTACCTAGTAGCCAGAACGCACTTTTCAGCCTACTATGCAAGGCCCAATTTGCCTAAAAAGCCAAGTTTTCATGAATTAATGTTTTTTCGACGACCTAACCTACCTAACCTAACCTAACCTACCTTTTTCGGTTACCTAACCCAACCTAACCTATAAAAATAGGTTAGGTTAGGTTAGGTAGGGTTGGTTAGGTTCGGTCATATATCTACGTTAATTTTAACTACAATAAAACAAAATTGACCTCATACATAATGAAATGGGTAGCTTTATCATTTCATAAGAAAAAAAATTGAGAAAATATATTAATTCAGGAAAACTTGGCTTATTAGGCAAATCGGGCCTTGAATAGAAGGCCGAAAAGTGAGTTCTGGCTACTAGGTACGACATATATATATATATATATATATATATATATATATATATATATATATAATATAATTGTGTAAATTACATATATAATATAATATATATATATATATATATTTATATTATATATGTAATTTACACAATTTATATATATATATATATATATATATATATATATATATATATATATATATATATTATATATATATATATATAATATATATATATATATATATATAATATAAATTGTGTAAATTACATATATAATATAAATATATATATATATATATATATATATATATATATATATATATATATATATATATATATATATATATTTATATTATATATGTAATTTACACAATTTATATTATATATATATATGTCGTACCTAATAGCCAGAACGCACTTCTCAGCCTACTATTCAAGGCCCGATTTGCCTAATAAGCCAAGTTTTCATGAATTAATGTTTTTTCGTCTACCTAACCTACCTAACCTAACCTAACCTAGCTTTTTGGCTACCTAACCTAACCTTACCTATAAATATAGGTTAGGTTAGGTTAGGTAGGGTTGGTTAGGTTCGGTCATATATCTACGTTAATTTTAACTCCAATAACAAAAAATTGACCTCATACATAGAGAAAAGGGTTGCTTTATCATTTCATAAGAAAAAAAATTATAGTAAATATATTAATTCAGGAAAACTTGGCTTATTAGGCAAATCGGGCCTTGAATAGTAGGCTGAGAAGTGAGTTCTGGCTACTAGGTACGACATATATATATATATATATATATATATATATATATATATATATATATATATATATATATGTCGTACCTAGTAGCCAGAACGCACTTCTCAGCCTACTATGCAAGGCCCAATTTGCCTAATAGGCCAAGTTTTCATGAATTAATTGTTTTTCGACTACCTAACCTACCTAACCTAACCTAACCTAAGTTTTTCGGCTACCTAACCTAACCTATAAAGATAGGTTAGGTTAGGTTAGGTAGGGTTGGTTAGGTTCGGTCATATATCTACGTTAATTTTAACTCCAAAAAAAAAAATTGACCTCATTCATAATGAAATGGGTAGCTTTATCATTTCATAAGAAAAAAATTAGAGAAAATATATTAATTTAGGAAAACTTGGCTTATTAGGCAAATCGGGCCATGCATATTAGGCTGAGAAGTTCATTCTGGCTACTAGGTACGACATATATATATATATATATATATATATATATATATATATATATATATATATATATATATATATATATATATATATATATATATATATATATATTATATTAGGTCCGTTTTGCCTAACAGCAGAGCGATTTTGTATATCATTATTCCGAGAATTACTTCCCCAAAAATTAATAATAACACTATATTGACTACATCCCAGTTCATAGAAGTTAAAAAATAAAAATAAACAAGATCGACTTACCTTACGTCCAGCCAGTGTGGTAAATCCAGGAATATTCAGTCGCTGGACGAAGCGTTCCAGGAACCTATGGACCACCTCGCGTATCTAAAGGAATCGTAAGGCCACCGTACACTAGGCGCTCCTTCGATCCTGACTTAGCTGCAGCGAGGGGGGCGGTGTGCGCGCGTGCGTCTGGTGGCTAGCTGGCTAGACCACTACTGCCAGACCTCCGGACACTGCCAGCCTCTAGCCCCATCCACCACCATCCTCTAACGCACGCATACACACACACACACGCGCGCGCGCTCGCTCGCTTGCAAAATGACCTTCTTCGTTTCCTCGTTTTTACGGCGCGCGATCGAGTGCCCTCACTTCTTCCTGGGCGGACTGGTGTCGTGGCCGTCGTTCCCGACGGCGATGTTATTCGTCGCTTACACTTGTTCCGTGACGTGAGACGTGTATGACTCTGGGGTCGGCGAGCCTGTGTATGGCGGATTATAGTATTCATTCGGTTTTGAAAAATGTGATGAGAATTCTGTTGAGCTGTTTTCAAGAGGTTAAGTGCAGAGATGCTTGGTTTGTAGGGGAGAGAATATGTTGGTGTGTGAGAGAGATAAAGGATGCTGGTGTTTGAGAGAATTAATGGATGCTGGTGGGTGAGAGAGAGGATGAGAGGATGCTGGGGTAGAGATGGAAAGAGAGACTGGCTGGGTATCTAGGGCAGCGGTAGACTCCCCCGCACCACGTGACCTTGACACACACCCACACGCTGTTCTTACACACGCACACACACACACACACACACACACACACACACACACACACACACACACACACACACACACACACACACACACACACACACACACGGGGTTTCGCGGCTGAGTGGACAGTGCTCTGGGGGTCGTAGTCCTAAGGGGCTGGGTTCGATTCCCGGCGGGGTCGGAAACAAATGGGCAGAGTTTCTTTCCACCCTGATGCTTCTCTTCACCTAGCAGTAAATAAGTACCTGGTAGCTAGATAGCTGATACTGGCTGCTTCCTGGGGATGTATTCACCTAGTTGTATTCGCCTTGTTGTGCTTGGCTAGATGCCGAAAACTCGTCTCTTTCGGCCGCCTCTCAACTGTCAATCAGCTTTTTTTTCACACACACACACACACACACACACACACACACACACACACACACACACACACACACACACACACACATACACACACACACACACACACACACACACACACACACACACACACACACACCACACACATACACACACACACACACCATACACACACACACACACACACACACACACACATACACACACACACACACACACACACACACACACACACATACACACATACACACACACAGTACTCACCTAATTGTGCTTGCGGGGGTTGAGCTCTGACTCTTTGGTCCCGCCACTCAACTGTCAGTCATCTGGTGCACAGGTTCCTGAGCCTACTGGGCTCTATCATATCTACACTTGTAACTGTGTATGGAGTCAGCCTCCACCACATCACTGCCTAATGCATTCCACCCGCTAACTACTCTGACACTGAAAAGTTCTTTCTAACGTCCCTGTGGTTCATTTGGGTACTCAGTCTCCACCTGTGTCCCCTTGTTCGCGTACCATCCGTGTTAAAAAGTTTATCTTTATCTACCCTGTCAATTCCTTTGAGAATTTTGTAGATAGTGATCATGTCTCCTCATACTCTTCTGTCTTCCAGTGTCGTGAGGTGCATTTCACGTAGCCTTTCCTGGTACCTCATGCCTCTTAGTCATACTATCTTCCTCCGTCTTAGTCCTCATCATAATTTTTGCATCATCAGGAAACAGTGAGAGGAATGATTCTATACTCTCGGGTAGATTATTTACATATATCAGAAACAGTATAGGTCCAAGGACTGACCCCTGCGGGACTCCACTGGTGACGCCTCGCCAATCTGAGACCTCACCCCTCACAGTGACTCGTTGTCTTCTGTTACTTGGGTACTCCTTTATCCAATGGAGTACCTTCCCTTTCACTCCTGCCTGCATCTCCAGCTTTCGTACTAGTCTCGGGTGTGGCACTGTGTCAAAGGCTTTCTGGCAATTCAAAAATATGCAGACTGCCCACTCCTCTCATTCGTGCCTGATTCTTGTTGCCTGATCGTAGAATTCAATTAATCCTGTGAGGCATGACTCGTCACACCTAAAACCATGTTGGTGTTGTGTCACAAAGTTTCTTTGCTCCAGATGGTCCACTAGTTTTCTTCGCACAATCTTCTCCATTAACTTGCATGGTATGCAAGTTAGGGACACTGGCCTGTAGTTCAGTGCCTCCTGTCTATCCCCTTTCTTGAATATCTTGACTACGTTTGCCGTCTTTCAAATTTTTGGCAGTTCACATGTTACCAGTGATTTGTTATACACCATGGAGAGTGGCAGGCACAGTGCTTCTGCTCCTTCGTTTAGTATCCATGGCGATATATCCATCTGAGCTTATAGCCTTTGTCACATCCAGTTCTAGCAAAAGCTTCCTAACATCCCCAATGGTAATCTCAAACTCCTCTAGTGATGCCTGGTTAACTATTCCTTCTCTTATCTCTGGAACTTTTCCTTGCTCTACTCAGAAGACTTCCTGGAATTTCTTATTGACTTCCTCGCACACTTTGTCGTTTGTAATGAATCTGTCTGCCCCTATCCTCAGTTTCATTACCTGTTCCTTCACTGTTGTTCTCCTGATGTGGCTGTGCAGCAATTCAGGTTGAGTCTTAGCCTTGTTTGCTATGTCATTTTCATATTGCCCTTCTGCCTCTCTTGTCACCCTGACATATTCATTCCTGGCTCTCTGGTAACCTTCTCTGCTCTCAAGTGTCCTGTTATTTTTATAGTTTATCCACGCTCTTGTACTTAATTGCTTAGCTAGCTTATATCTCTGATTAAACCATGGGTTTCTCATCTGCATTTCATTTTTTTTCCTTTTGGGCCGGGATAAACTTGTCTGCTGCCTCTTTACACTTCTTCGTGATGTATTCCATCATGTCTTGGGCCGTCTTTCCCCTGAGCTCTGTTTCCCATGTTATATCCATTAGGGATTTTCTTATCTCCTCATAGTTTCCCTTACGGAATGCTAGCCTTTTGTTTTTAGTTCCCTTCCTCGAGTATTTTAACCCTTCTTCGACCAGATACTCAAACGTCAGTACACTGTGATCGCTCATTCCTACTGGGGCCACGAAGTCAATTTCCCTTATGTCGGAGTCATTTAGAGTGAAGACTAGGTCGAGTCTCGCTGGTTCATCGTTTCCCCTCATTCGTGTTGGTTCCCTGACATGCTGGCTTAAAAAGTTTTTTGTTACCACCTCCAGTAGTTTAGCTCTCCATGTTTCCTCTACTCCATGCGGTTCCTTGTTCTCCCAGTCTATTCTTTCGTGATTGAAGTCCTCCATGATGAGCAGATGGGATCGAATTCTCCAGGCAGCAGAGGCTGCCCTCTCAATTATATTGTTAATTATTAATTATATTGTGTGTTTTTATTGTTATAGTGTGTGTGTGTGTGTGTGTGTGTGTGTGTGTGTGTGTGTGTGTGTGTGTGTTTACTCACCTAATTGTGCTTGCGGGGGTTGAGCTTTGGTTCTTTGGTCTCGCCTCTCAACCATCAATCTACTTGTATACAGATTGCTGAACTTCTCAAGCTCTATCATATCTACATTTGAAACTGTGTATAGAGTCAGCCTCTACCACATCACTTCCTAGTGCATTCCAATTACTAATTACTCTGACAATGAAAAAGTTCTAATGTCTCCGTGGCTCATTTGGGTACTCAGCTTCCACCTGTGTTCCCTTGTGCGTGTACCACCCGTGTTAAATAATCCATCCTTGTCTACCCTGTCAATTCCCCCTGAGAATTTTGAATGTGGTGATCATGTCTCCCCGGGCTCTTCTGTCTTCCAGCGACGTGAGGTGCAGTTCCCTCAACCTTACCTCGTAACTCATGCCTAGTTCTGGAACTAGCTTAGTGGCATACCTCTGAACTTTTGGGGGATTTATCTTGTGCTTGACAAGGTACGGGCTCCATGCTGGGGGCGCATACTCCAGGATTGGCCTTACATATGTGGTATACAAGGTTCTGAAGGATTCTTTACACAGATTTCTGAAGGCAGTTTTGATGTTAGCCAGCCTTGCATACGGCGCAGATGTTATTCTTTTGATGTGGGCTTCAGGAGACAGGTTTGGTGTGATATCAACTCCTAGATCTTTTTCTGTCTGTGTACTTACCTATTTGTACTCACCTATTTGTGTCTGCAGGATAGAACATTGATTCTTGGATCCCGCCTTTCGAGCCATCGGTTGTTTACAGCGATGATTCCGGTCCAATTTCCCTATCATATCTAGTTTCAAAATTGTGAAAAGAATTTTTATTCCTCAACCTGCTCCTTAAGTCCATTCCATTTTTACATTACTCTCAGGCTCAAGGAAAACTTACTTACATCTCTGTGACTAATCTGAGTTTCCAACTTCCACCCTGGAAGTGTGCATGTGTGTGTGTGAGTGTGAGTGTGTGTGTGTGTGTGTGTGTGTGTGTGTGTGTGTGTGTGTGTGTGTGTGTGTGTGTGTGTGTGTGTGTGTGTGTGTTTACTCGCCTATTTGTGCTTGCGGGGATTGAGCTTTGGCTCTTTGGTCCCGCCTCTCAACTGTCAATCAACTGGTGTACAGATTCCTGAGCCTACTGGGCTCCATCATATCTACATTTAAACTGTGTATGGAGTCAGTCTCCACCACATCACTGCCTAATGCATTCCATCCGTTAACTACTCTTGGCACGGAAAAAGTTCCTTCTAACGTCCCTGTGGTTCATGTGGGTACTCAGTTTCCACCTGTGTCCCCTTGTTCGCGTCCCACCTGTGTTGAATAGTTTATCCTTGTTTACCCGGTCGATTCCTCTGTGTGTGTGTGTGTGTGTGTGTGTGTGTGTGTGTGTGTGTGTGTGTGTGTGTGTATGTGTGTATGTGTGTATGTGTGTGTGTGTGTGTGTGTATGTGTGTGTGTGTGTGTGTGTGTGTGTGTGTGTGTGTGTGTGTGTGTGTGTGTGTGTGTGTGTGTGTGTGTGTGTGTTTACTATTTATGTCTGCAGAATCGAGCTATTAGCTCTTGGCATAATAGACAAAATTGAGGAAAAATAGATTGATTAGAAAGGCGGAGTCCGAGAGTTGACAGTTCGAGCCTGTTGCAGGCACAAATAGAAAGTGGTCATCATTA